ATCAAGTACTTCATTGGCTGGGCGCCTTGGGGAAAGGGCCTAGGAGATCCATGCCCCATTGAGCGAAGGGCCAGGCTCCCATATTACCTTGCATGGGTGCCGCCGGGAGGTGAATGTCATTGGCTTGCACTTGGCATTGGTGGCAAGCGTCCACGTGTGCCTTTGCATCCCTTCTCATCGTTGGCCAGTAAAATCCTTGCCTTAGCAGCGTTTTCTCCAGACTTCGCGCCCATGCGTGCATGCCGCACGTTCCGCTATGAACCTCCTCGATTGCCTCCTTGCTCTCCTCTTCGTTCAGGCACCTCAAGTATGTCCCCGCGTGAGACCTTTTGTACAATTTTCCCTCAATTATGGAACACCGTGCTGATTTCGGCGGAGATGCCAGGCTAATTTTGGGTCGTCAGGCACCACGCCCTGGGTCAAGAACAACTCAATTGGTGCCATCCAGCCGGAAGTGGCGCCCCCACCGCAAAGGGCAGCGATCAGATGTTCATGGGTCGCTTCGGCGGTGACTATGACGTTCCTCTCTTCCGCGAAGTCCACTGCGGTTGCGAGCTTGGATAAGGCGTCTGCATGGGTGTTCTCCTCTCGGGGGACGTGAACAAAGGAGACTTCCCTGAACCAAGCTCTCATCTCTCTTACTCTTCGTACATACCCTTCAAGCGCCTCTTCCTTTACCTCGAAGACTCCATTGAGTTGGTTAACGACGAGGGTCGAATCAGACCTGACTCGGATCTTGTGGGCGCCCAGCTCCTTGGCCATACTCATGCCAGCAATAACTACTTCATATTCCGCGGCGTTGTTCATCTTCAGGGCCACAAATCGCAACGCGACTTCGTGCATTGCGCCTCCTGGGCTTAAAATCACGATACCTGCCCCGACGCCGGTGCGACTGGCCGCCCCATCGACTTGAACTTGCCAGCAGTCATCCACCCCCCGTTTTGCCTCTGCTATTCCTTTCGCAATGAAATCTGCCAAGACCTGGGCCTTTATCGCTGGTCGGGGCGCATACTGAATGTCGAACTCACTTAGTTGAACCGCCCATTTGACGAGGCGCCCGACCACATCCATTGACCCCAACGTGGACTTCAACGCTAGGTTGGTGAGCACTATGATGGTGTGTGCATGGAAGTAGGGCCTCATTGGTCGCTGCCATCACAACCGCCAATGCAGCCTTCTCAATGGGTGCATATCTCTTTTCGTGGGCGACCATGGTACGACTGGCATAGAATACCAGTTTGTCTTCTCCGGAGGGGGCCTCCCTTAAGACGAGGACTGCGCTTACCGAGACTTCCGATACAACGATATAAAGGTACAGCGTCTTCCTCGCTTTGGGCGCCATCATGACGATCGGGGCGACTAGAAGTTGCTTTAATTCTTCGAATGCTCCATCGCACTCAGCATTCCATTGAAAACGCACCGCCTTTTTGAGCGTTTGAAAAAAAGGAGCGACCCTATCAGCGGACCGCGGGATGAAGCGCCCAAGGGCCGCTAACCTTCATGCCAAGCCTTGCACCTCTTTGGGCGTCTTCGGGGGTGTAAGTTTGCGGACAGCGTCCACTTGCTTCGAGTTGGCTTCAATGCCTCGCTTGGTGATCATGAATCCCAAAAATTTCCCTGCTTCGGCGCCGAACACACATTTGAGGGGGTTGAGACGAAGCCTGTGCGCCCGCATGACCTGGAACGTTTCCCGCAAGTCTTCCAAGTGATCCTCACGCCTACGATTTTTGACTATCAAGTCGTCCACATAGGCCTCCACATTACGACCGATTTGTTTGCGGAAAACGTTGTTGACCATTCTTTGATAGGTGGCACCCGCATTCTTAAGTTCGAACGCCATGACCCGATAGCAAAAGTTCCCGAAGGGCGTTATGAAAGCCGTCTTTGGTCGGTCTTCTTCTGCCATGGGGATCCGATGGTACCAGAGAACATGTCCACAAAGCTTAGCATCTCATGATATGCCGTGGAATCAACCAATTGATCTATGCGGGGCATCGGGTAAGCATCCGTGGGGCATGCTCTGTTAAGGCTCGTATAGTCTACGCACATTCTCCAATATCCTGACAGTTTTGGCACGAAGACCACGTTCGACAACCAAGTTACATAGGCAGTTTCCTTGACCAAGTTAGCGCTCAGGAGCTTGTCCACCTCGACCCTAAGCGCCGCCTCCCTCTTTGGCGATTGGTTCCTGCGTTTTTGTTGCACTAGGCGCCTGCCTTCTTCGACTGCCAACTTACGCAAGGCCGTTTCGGGTGCGACGCCCGCCATCTGCAGAACACTCCACGCTAAAAGTTTCGCGAACTCCTTTAGAAGGGCAATCAGGCGCTCTTTCATTTCACCTGGCGCCTCTGCCTATATCCTCACCTGTATTTTCGGGCGCCCTTCGTCCAAGCTACCAAAAGTTCTTCGTCGACAGCTTCGGCTCGGGGCGCCTCCTCTGCCACGGTCTCCACCACATTGACCCTTGCTTCGGTGCATCGTCATTTCCGCCCAGTTTCTCTTGCGTAACGCGGGGCGCCCCGCCCGCGGGCTACGCCCATTTCTTGCAGAGCGATAAATTTCAAGGTTTGGTGACAAGTAGAGGCCACCCCATTGAACAAGGCTAGGAGGGGCCTTCCCAGGGTCGCATTGTACGGTGATGGGCAGTCCACTATTCCAAAGTCAATGGCGCGCGTCACCCTTTGCTCCCCGTCGCCCAAGGTGACCGGCAGGCGCACTCGCCCTATCACCCTGGCGGGAGCCCTGGAAAATTTGACTAGCACAGACTCTGATGGTATGATCAACTCAGACGCTAGTTGCATGCGGGCCAGCGTGTCCTTGAATAACACGTCCATGGAGCTCCCCGTGTCGACGAGCATCCTCCTTACTTTGCATCCTGCCACCACTCCTTGTATCTCCAAGGCGTCCATGGATGGGAGCATGCACGCCTCCTCGGGCGCCCTGTTAAAACTGATGTCGATGGCCTCTTGTACATCGGCAGAGGCGGCTCTTAGCCGGCGGTTTGCCTCCAACTTTTCCCTCAAATCCACCGTTACTGAAATGGACTCGATGGTAAGTCGTATTCGCTCAGGCGCCTTCTCTTGGTCGAGGACGTAGGGCGGGGGTGGCAGCTCCGTCGCTCCTCGCTCTATGCCGGCCACACACGCACGATGCACACTCTCTTCGAGCTTCTTGACAAAATCATTAAGCATCCCCCTATCAGTCAGGCCATGCAGCTCAGTTTTTAATTGGTAGCAGTCAGTCGTATGGTGTCCCACCTCCCAGTGGAAATCACAATATCGGTCTAAGTTCCGTTCGTTGGGCTGTCCCCTCATGGGGCCCGGCCATTGGATGTTATATCCTTTCTCTTTGACATGTTGGAGTATGTTCTTCAGCGTGTCGTTGTATTCTGCGAAGGCTCCCGGCCCCCTGGTCGTCGGGCGCCCGGTATCCATTCTTCTCGGCTGGGGGTGGTTGACGAGTGCATATCCCGGCCCATTCGGGGGATGCGGTCTCCTAATCATCTCAACTTCCTCTCCCCTCGTCCTTCTCCTATTTGCCCTCCTGGCCGCCAAAGTTTCTTCGAGCATGATCACCTTTTGCACTCAGTGATCCAAATCTTCCGTGGATACCACGTCCCTCTTGGCGAGCGCCATGCATAACTCCTCGCTGGTGGTACATTCGTTCAAGCATACTCCCAATGCTGACGGATGTGCGTCTTTTACTGCCAAGGCTACTGAGAGCCACCTTTCGTAAAACTCTCTCAACGCCTCTCCTTCTTTCTGCTTGACCTTGAATAGGGCGCCTATGGTCATGGAGCGGCGCTTCCTCCTGGCGAAATTTGCCACAAACATCGCCGCAAACTACTCAAAGCAGTCAATGCGCCCCTCTTCGATTTGGTGGTACCAGTCAAGGACCACGCACGCGAAGGTCAACGGGAACACTTTGCACAGGGTAGCGTCTGAGCTGTTGTAAAGCTACATCTTGGTGCAGTATCCATTTAAGTGATCATCCGGGTCCGCTGTCCCGTCATAAGTTGGGAGTGGGGGAAAGTTGGTTCTCGCGGGCTTCATTAGTATGTTTCCCGCCAGGGGCTTCCTTACGGAGCAGTAGCGTGATAGGCGCCCTAGGATTCCCCTGTTCCATCCATTGGTGTCTGGACCACTGCGTTCCTGTGGGCGCCATAGGCTTGGGCGCCTCAAATGCTCGGACTCGCTTTCTGTTTCCGCCACCCTTTCCCTTTTCTTCGAGGTTGGGCTGGGTGTCATCCCTTCTCCTCTCTTCAAGGCATCAACCTCCCATCGAAGCGCCTCGATTGCCTCGTCCTGATCTTTGATGAGCCTAAACAGCTCCCTCTTTGTGACCGAGGCGCCTTCCGACCCTCGAAACATACCATCACTCTCCTCACCGACGTCCATATCGGGCGTCAGCCCTCTCATCCGCTCAGACTAGTCTCCCTTAATATCCTCTCCCTCTCCACTCATAGGCGCCTCCACACGCATGATTCTTGGTTATATTACCCTTCCTGGCCCGACAATTGTTTGAGCCTTGACGCCCCACCGACACGTCACGTCCTTTCTGTCCAGCGCCTGCCTATACACACAAGCACAGGGGGGGTGCCTGGGCTCGTTAGCCCTCCGACGATCAATTCAGTATCTTAGAGAGAGAAGTGCTTCAGAGCAAGAGTTAAGTGAGAGAGTCCCCCATGTGTAAATGCTACCAACTGCCCCTATTTATACTCACCGAGCTCGAGGTGGATCTCCTCCACGTCACCGTCACATTAAATGCGTTGTACCTTCACTTCTGTCAGAAGTCTCAACCACCTTGTCAGACTTCTGACGGCTGGCAGGCACCCACAGCCGGGGGACCACTTGCCAGCCTTGACCTCTTTGGCCCTTAGTGCTTTGTCTCCATGCCTATGATGCCTGGTATGCAATGGGTTTTGCAGGCTTATTCTTCTGGCCCATTGCCTTGGGCTACCTTCACCTGAATGGGCTCTTCTTGGGCCCCTTTAATAATACCCCCAACATGTCCATTTATGAAAAATTACACCATTTAATTTGAAGGGAGAAAAGCATGGTTAAAGTTTAAGACATTTGTAGTAATTATTATTGAAAAATTAAATCAAATCAAATTACTCCATGCCCTCAGTTGCATTAAGAATATTAAATGTTTTTTTATCCGCATAATCCAAGGGAAAAGAAAGACATATTATATAACGTCACGATCATTCTTACAAACAGGTCAACATGTACACGGCCCCGGATTATCACATTATGTTAACTCTCGAATTCCAATTATCACCAACTTTATCTATTGCTTGGGAATACCAACAATTCCATCATCATCACCATCGCCATCGTGATGCTGCACCATAACTTGCCTTTTGGGATCTAAACCCTCAACATTATACACAAACAACTTAGCCACTAGCAGATACACCACAAAGTTCACGAGCGCCAGAACCACCAACAACCCATAATAGTAATCCAAGTGGGACACATTCAGGTTGTTCAAGATCCAACCTCTACCCTTCCCATTCCTCCTCTCTGTCACTTCAGACACAGTCCTCACCAAGAAGCTGCTCAAGAATTGCCCCAGCCCAATGCTGCTAGTGAAGTAAGAAGTCCCCAGGGATTTCATCCCCTGGGGCGCCTGATCATAGAAGAACTCAAGCTTTGCCACCTCCATGAAGCAATCTGCCACCCCCATCAATGCAAATTGGGGCAACAAGATGAAGATGGTGAGCGGGACTATGTCTAGTCTCCCCAACCGATTGTGCTGGGCGGCAACTTCGAGCCTCTTTCTCTCGGCCAGGCAAGCCGCGACCATGACGATGATTTGGAGGAGGAACCCAATCCCCATCCTCTGTAGCAGTGTGATCCCTCGGGGGTTTCCCGTAAGACGTTTGATGTATGGCATGAATGCGCGGTCGTAGATGATGATGCTGAGGAGCATGAAGATGGTGACGAATGCTGCTAGGCACGCTGGCGGGATCTCGAAGTGAGGCCCCATGCTTCGATTTAGGGTTGTCCCTTGTTTGATGAACAGAGTCCCAATCTGGGCCACAAGGGCGCTTGGGATGATTGTGGTTGCTAGGATTGGAAGCATCTTCATCATCTGCTTTGTCTCTTCTACTTGGGTCACTGGAGTTAGGTGCCATGGCGAGGTTGACCCGCTCAATTTTACTGCAGCTTTGTCCAGAAATCTGTAGCCGATTTGTAGATAGACGGCACACTCATAATCGTTAGTTTAAGCATGCAAAATTTGTTCCTCTGCAACTCTGTTTCGTCAATTTTTAGTTTACCTTAACGAATGTGTGTGATCAATTTTGAACTTCCCGAGCTTCTCGTATTCCTCCAAGCCAAGTTCATGGAGTTCATTGGGATCATGAGGCAGGGCAACATTCCAATTCCTTGCAGCAACAACAAGCACCTGCGCCATTTTAGTGAAAGGACTCCCCGCGGGGAGCTTGTGTCTGTACAATGGAGTTCCTAGGAAGAACACGAGGATGGAAATCCCGAGTCCAGCAGTGGGAATGCCATAACCCAAGCTCCACCCGACATGGTCCTGAAGGTAAACCAGGAACGTGTTGGAGAACAAGGTGCCAAAGAAAATGCTGAACATCCACCAGTTGAAGAAGGACAACTTGTGAGTTCTCTCCTTGGGCTCCAACTCGTCGAACTGGTCTGCTCCCATGGTGGAGATGTTGGGCTTGGTCCCTCCTGTTCCTACTGCTACGATGTATAGTGCACAGTAGAATATGCCTTTTTGCAGAGGCGTGACTTCCTTGTCACATTCTGCTGCTCCATTGGGGCACGTTGGTGGCTTGAGGCCTGGCACCGAAACCGCGAGGGTTAGCAGTATCATACCCTGCATCCAAACGTGGAGGATCAATTCTTTTCAGCAACAACTAGGTAATAACAAATCATGGCTCTCTCTAAGAAGCACTAACGCATGTGGTAATTAATTGACGACAATTAAATTGATGCATTGTCGTCAATACATGCATGTAGGAAAACTGGTGTATTGTAGTTTACATCACCAGGCCAGGGTCAAAGTGGGTCGACCCGCGGGCTGACAACCTTGATTCCGAACCATCAATACGATACACTATGACAAATCATGCCCTCACCGTAAATGAAATCGGCCCAAAAAGATGACTCAAACTAAAAACTATAAAGCCCAAAACATCTCCCATGCTACTAGTTATATGCAAATAAACCTCCTACAGTACGTATAGTATCGGCGGTTCGACCAGAAAAATTTCCTATCAAAAGCTAAATCGATATATGTTATTTTGACAATATTAAATGGTTGAACCACGGTTAAACAACGGTTTGAGCACAATTCTGCAATGATTACAAAGATGTTGAAAAGCTGTCGATCTTACCGAGAAGTAGACGGCAGAGGCGATGGCGAAGGTCCAGAAACGGCCTAAGTGAGCATCGGCGACGTAAGCACCCAAGATGGGCAGAATCCAGACCGTGCCAGCCCAATTGGTCACGTTGTTAGCTGACTGAACAGTGCCTTCTTGAAGCTCTTTCGATAAATAGACCACCAGATTCGTTGCTATGCCGTAGTAAGCCATCCTCTCAAACACTTCATACCCTGCAATTGATTAATTAGGCCACGTACAACACCACAAGAACGTAATTAATTATGTATCTCCTCATATTCACGAGAACAGTAATATTAACGGCGAGGCTTATAGTTACTTACCAACAATGAAAGAGCAAGCCCTCCATCCTCCGGTGGCCGACCTGAGGACCGGCCGGCCGGCGAGGCTCACAGTCCCGTCCTGTGTGTAATCTTCGCCGGCGTTTTCGTCAGCATTCTCCATGAATCAGATTATAATAACTAGAGGGAATATACGTTTACACCAGAATCTATATCTATCATGTGAAAAGGGTATCTCTCTGTGTTTTTATAGCAAGGAAGAGTGTATTCGTATTGTAGGCTGGCTGGCAGGTGAGCCATGTGGTTGAGGCTCCTCTCTCCTTCTTCCTTGGCAGCTTCACTTCATTTGTGTGTTATTCTAATCCTTGTTTCCATGTATTTTTAATTTTACTGACATGGGGAATTTGGACTGCTTGATTTTTTTTTTTTGCCCCCTCTCTTGTTGCTGCTCACTTATTTTAATGGGAGAGCTATAGGCCATATAATATTCGGTTTCTTCTACTCAACATGCATAATAACTATATATATTAACCACTTCTTGCCAACGTCTTTCGATAAAAACATATTAATGAGATTTGTCTCAAACATGGCATTAGGTAATTCTGCCAAGTGCCGACGTAGATAGAATCTAGAACAATATATAGAAGTATACTTAGAGTGGTTTGGTGCAATATTTTTTTTTATAAATTCGAATACCTAATTATTACTTTAATGGTTAGTACTATACTAACATAATTATTAGGGATATTATGAAAATAATTGTACATAGTAATTATTGTATTTCACCCCACCTTTCTCTTTTTCTTTCCGCCTCTTGTCTCCTGCCCTCCACCTAGGAGTGCCAATCAATTTGGTTTTGGTTAACCACTAATCGATTTGACAGCTAGTGATTAACCATTAAACAGAAAATAATTATAAAAAACCAGTGAGCTTTTGTCGGGTTTTGCCGGTTGGTTTGACAGTTAACCACTAACCAATAATAACCTCTACATGTAACATTTTCTTTTGTTAACTAGTTTTTATCCGACCGTTGGGCGGTCGAAATTGATTTATTTTTATTGTATTATTTAATTTATTTTTTATTCATGTATGTTACACTATTATACATGAAAATTTCAATCTCATTTACCTTATTTCATAAGAAGATATTCTTTGACCCTTTGTGTCTTCCATTTATTAATGAAACACTAATTTTATTAAATTATTTTATGTCTACTATTTTGTGCTACTATTTTTTATTATTATTTTAGATCCTATGAATATCATGCAATATAAGTTATCCATGTAATTTGATAGAGCAAGAAATCTCATTAGCATCCACATAATCAATCTTCTGCTTATCCATTTTAATTTACTTAGCGATGTTCTAGCATAATCAACCAGAAATCGAACTAACGACTAACAATAATTTATGAAAATAATATTTTCAGCAAATTTAATCGCATATAAATATAATGGATATTTAGTAGAGGGCTAAATATCCTCTGCAAAACGAATATTTTTTTACCTAATAACAACATAGACGAATAGTGAAAGTTGCAAACTTCAATACAACTCAATTCGTTCCATCTTATGAATTCCTCAATCATGAACTGGATTGATGCATCAATCCACGCTAAGAAAACAAACAAATGACATTGCACACTTTAAGAAATTGAAAGAACATCGACATAGACAACCCAATAACCACCACTACCACTTTATTTCTTATTTGTGACCTTTATAAAACCCCACATCCCTTCTACTTATAACCCCCTGCTACTTACTACTTACTACTTACTGACCATATCATCATTGTAAAGCTAGTTAGTAGCAAGCCACTCATGAACATAATAAATATAAAAACATCCTCTAATGGAACATGTTAAGGTGACAACCCTCGCAAGTTTGTTTTCCATTTTAGCATCCTATGAATAATATAGAAGAGAAATGCTAGAAATCTCAAACTTTTATGCAAATAAGAAAAGAGTTTTGTTTGTTTTTGCAGGGCTTAACCCAATCAATTAATTTTATTCTTTTTAATGATGGGTTTTGTTTTTAGAGATAATATATACGAAAAAAACATATAGAAACAAACTAAAAGGTTGCATTCATTGTTATTAACTTAGATTTATGTGTTACTAATGATAATGACGATTGAAAGTGTCAACATAACGTCTGTAATTTATCATTATTAGAACTTGCCAGCCATGAAAGGATGAGAGCTATCCATGTGCTGATGTGGCAGCAATTTAGTTTTGAATAATACCTAAAGCGAAGATGAAAGACAATGGTAGATCAAGTAGGGCAATTTACAACCCTGCCACCATAATATGAAAGTACTTAAAAACGGAAAGAAGAGTAGAACCCGATCGGTCAATCACAAGCGGCCAAATACCGTTGGAGAAGAGAGGTCAGTCATCAGCTGCGGATCACAGGAGAATAGGGATTTATCGTCAATACTTGGCTTGGTTTACTTTGTATTCTCAATGATAAGAACTTTTTTTGCCAATAGGAAAAATATGTTACAACTACTCAATTGTTCCTCATCTAATTGTTGCCTCTTGTAACTAACGCAATGAAAAAACTCTATATGTCTTACCATTTTCCCTACATGTATGATGTATCTATGCATAAAATAGTAGAGAAGAAAACAGAAATGCTAGAAATCTCAAAATTTTGAGTAAATAAGAAGAGAGTTTTGTTTGTTTTATAGGGCTAGACCCAATTTCTATCTTTTATTTTTTCCAATTTCCAATTTTAATTTTAGAGAGATCATCTATATTGGAAAACCAATAGAAACAAACCAAAAGATTGCATTCATTGTTATTAACTTAATGCACATTTTAATGATAATAATGATGATTTTAAGTGTAAGGAAAAAAATTATAATTAAAACTTGTCCACCATGAAAGAATGAGAGTTATCCATGTGCTTATGTGGCAAAGATTTAGTTTTGAATTTCTATAATATTAAGTAAGGATTTGAATTTTGTATGGTTTTCTTTTTAATAATAAAAAATAATCAAACAAATATTTCTAAATAATTTAACTACATTCCTATATTTCTATATTGTTAACATAAAGTAATAAATATAAGAAATAACATCAATACAATACAACATCCACCGTAAATTACTAAATTCGTAATCCAACTAGCGAGTACCAACTATCAAAACACCAAACACAAGGACCACAAGATTATTATCTCTCACAAACATCAAAGAAACAAGATCACAAGGGGAGTCAGAGAGAGATGAATTGCGGGTTTTGACTCTGAAACACAATTGAGAGTTTGGGTGGAGACTTGTTTACAATAGGTGGGAATTAGGATGTTTGAAATTGAGACTTTGGTTGATTTTGAATCTTAAAACTTTGTCCCTTAGCAAAAGCCTACAAACTATGTGGTTATACTAATGCAGTTATCGATTTTCTTATCGGTTAGCCACTAACTGAGTGAGTGATTAATCATTAAGCAAAGGACTTTGCTACGGTGACTTGCAAGTCACCTTAATTTGCACTTTTCGGTCGAGCTCAGATAGGATTAGGTCAACCTAATATGTTGTTTCAGTTTTGTGAGGCTCAACGACGCGGTTGACCTTTTACAGCAAATGGTCGACCTCTTTGGGAAGCGAACAATATAAAAGGTCGACCCAAATATCTCAAAGGCTGGCCATTTTGCTATTAAAAGGTCGACATCATAAGTGAAAATGTTGACCTCTGTTTCATTAACTGATCAACATCAAAGTCGGGATTATTTAGGAAAATAGTATAAACGGTCGACCAGACAGGTACGAAGTCGACCGTGTGCACATCGTATTCGTATTGAATAAGGATTCCAACACTAGAAAGGTAACCCTAACTTGTCTACCACTTAATTCGACTCAATCTCGTCCTAAATATCTACAAATATGAATATATGTCACCTTCACTGCCACCGAAACTCTGAACTAGTTTTTTGTATGGTTAGAGCTTTTGTGAAGAAGAAGATCCTTTGCGGTTGTTGTTGTACGTGTTTGAAGAGGTCGACCTATTTTAGCTATCATCGTCATCTTGTCTAATTCGTAATTTGCACTGTTTAATTTGATGTTTTGTTGCGTGCAGAAAACCATTCGGTCGACCCTTATTTCAATCAGGTCGGCCGCTGTTTAACAATTGCGAGAAATTGAATTTAGGGCACAACACTCGGACTTCTGTACTTGCGAGATGAGGAAGATCAAACCCACTATGTCGACCTAAAACTTATCATGGTCGACCATTTTTGTTTGTTTTGCTTGTTTATCCAGAATGTCGGTTTTGGCTTTGTTTGTAAGACTATGTTGTGCTTAAAAGGTCGGCCGGTCAATGTGTTTGGTCGACCTATCAATTGTTCGTGGTAGTATTACACATGTTTCTGTTGGTAAATTGGTAATATTCAGCTGAATAAGTCGACCTAGGAATAGAAAAGGTCGACCTAATTGGTTATAGTAGTGACAACTTACGTCGTTAAGGTTAACCTAATAATATTTTAGGTCGACCACTTCTCTGTTGTTGGTCATTTGTACAAATTTAGAGTGACAACCTTAGGGGATTCGATCGACCGCAATTGGGAATAGATCAACCGAATTGTGCAAGTTGCGGTGACTTGCAAGGCACCATAGGCACACCCTTAAGCAAAATGTAGTTAACCAAAACTGAACCATTAAGAAATTAGCGGTTATCAGTTAGACATTAACCACCTTTATCAATTTGGCTATTAGTTAAAAATCACTATCTGTTTACCATCCCTCACTCCACCCCCACCTCTACTTCTCTCTCTATGTAAAAAAAATTCAATAGGTTACATGTAAAAAAATCCAATAGGTTACATGTAAAAAAAATTATTTTACTATTATAAAAAAAAATTATTTCATCGTTATAAAGAGAGATTTACTTGTCATCCATTATAACGTTTCTGGTTTGCTTCGTGAGGTTTATGGTGTGATTTCTCATCCTTCTTGTATGCTTTATGAGAGTTTTTGTGTCGTTGCACATATTTCTAGTTTGCTTTTGATGACTTGTGGTATGCGTAATGAGGTTTCTGGTCTGCTTTAATAAACTTGTGGTCAGCTTTATAAGGTTTATGGTCTGCTTCGGAAAACTTGTGGTCTGCTTTATAAGATTTATGATCTGGGTTAGGAAACTTCTGGTCAACTTTATGAGATTTATGGTTTACTTTAAGAAACTTGTGGTCAGCTTTATAAGGTTCTGGTATGCTTCAACAAACTTGCTCTCCACTTTATTAGGTTTATGGTCTGCTTTAAAAAATGTGTGGTCACCTTTATGAGGTTTATGGTCTGATTTAGGGGACTTGTGTTTAGCGTTACAAGATATTATGTCTTCCTTAAGAAACTTGTGGTCAAATTTGAGTCTTTTGGTATGTTTTATGAATTTTGTGGTGTGGTGAGGTTTCGATCTGTTTTATAAGCTTTATTGTCAACTTTATGTTATTTATAGTGGGCGTTTTTGTGTTTCTAGAATGTGTTTTGTGGTATGCTTCATGATACTTGTAGTCATTGCAACCTAAAAACTCGATGCGAAATAAATGGACAGCACCACATGTGTGTTCTCCCTTAAATTTTTAAATATGACAAACATACTCCTCCCTTTAAAAATTAACTTTAATTGTGGTCAAACTCTTAATTATAAAAAGTCATTTAGACGAATGTTCCTATTAACTGGAGTTAGTTTTAACATCTTACTAACAAATTGGGTGTTAACACCCTAACTTATGCTTAGTGGCGGAGGGAGGTAAGGAGGAGAGGGGTCCTAGGACCCCACTTGACAAATAATTGGGCAACAAAACCTTTTAGATACATAGGATTTAGTATGATAGTTCAAGTTTAGAACCCAATACTTTCAACGATGTTAGCTCACTAAGGATCCGATCAACTCAAAATTCATTAGATACAACAAGCGTTAGTATTAGTAAGTTTTTAAAAATCCCAGTGGACTCGATGTCTGGCTACGCCACAGTTATGCTCTACTTTAATAATTATAGGGTTTAAGATAAAGAAGTGCATTATTTTATGTTTAAGATACATTATCTGATTATCATACTCCAATTTTATTAACGGGAAGGTTCGGATAACATGGTCTTTCTAAAGCTGTAAAATAAAAGACCATCTATATGTCCCTCTCAAGCCTCAATTATTTCCAGCTTTGTGCTTCCCCTCTGTTTCGTCAAATCTTAGGAAAGCGATTGACAACCACCTTCTTTTTTCGGATTTGCATCCCCCGCCGGCAGATAGCGACATCCCCAAACAATGGGGAGAGTTAAAGAGAAAAGACGGAGGATTTCGATGAGTACAAGGCTTTGGTACAGGCCAAAAAGTTGAGTGAGGAAGAGGAAACAAATTAACAGTTGAGAGACTGATGGGGAACTGGGATCGACTCTTCAGACGGACCCCTTCAAACGAGACAGTCAGCTACCGGCTGAGGATTGGATGCTGTATTGCTGTAGCTGCCGGCCGATAATGAAGCTCTGTACAATAACCGCCAAAAACAGCAGCATTTTCTCCGTCTCCACCATGTGGTTGTGTTACCCAAACTTATATCCAGCCCACAAGAAACCATTTCAACTGAGCTTCCCACGTATCGTCGTCGGATTGGTGCACGGTAGAGTATGCAACAGTTCTTGGCGCTAAACCACAGGCAGAGCCGAGACCTGTAATGTTCATCTTACTTGCTTCCACAAGGGGGCAGTAATGTCAAAAGCTAAAGCAACTGGGGGAGTTGTGGGTGAACAATATTTCATCTAACAAGGGGCAGCAGTTTACATGCAGCAATTGATTCCAGCAGCCAAGTATGACCAGTTACTTGGGATCCACTTCTAGCAGCTACATCCTCTGCTTCGTTAAGCCTTTCCCAGAGAATCGGCACTTCTTCGCCCAACTTGCAGCCCGGTCGAGGATCGAGATTGTAAACAACTAATGTGGTTGGCGAAGCTCCGTCGCCGCCTTCCTTGTGTTGCTTGGTCATCTCCAAGAACTCTTCTTTACTACCCCAAACTGTACCTCCCGCGGCGACGATCAAATTCTGGAGATCTTTTCTGTAGGCAGGTACAAAGTCACCAGCGAGGTAGAAGTTTAATTGGTGGAAGAGTTTTGGGCCCTGAAAAAAGAGAACCAGCAAGGAGAAAGCAGAAGTTAAAATGGGAAAGAACTATCAACTAGCAAGAGAGCAAACTCATGTTATATCTAGTCATAATAATAGCTCATCAAGATACTTGCATTATTCAAGGCATTAAGTCTCCCGGTCTTTGGCCCATCGCAGGATCCATGATTGTCAAGTCTAACTTCATAAGGTTCTTCATCGACAGGTTGCATGGCCTCCCTGCATGCCTTTATCCCTGTGAAGATTTTATCAAACCATGCAGCTTCATATTATAGTTACTCTTATGACGTGAAATTGTGAAGCTTGTTAAAAACAAACTGATTCGCACTTAATCAAAAGGCATATATTCAAAAAGTTTATGTTCCTACAGCTAAAAAATAGTCTTCTTAATGAACATTTCATACCCACTACTAAAATGGCAGAATCTAATATATGCTTCACATTTACAGACAGCAAGATGGAGCAAGAAAAGATGCATTAGAATATTGTTGAATAGAAGGATCAACTCACAGTCAATTGTTAGAACCCATTTCCCATTCAGAATGGCCATGAGAACTTTCAGTGTTCTAGTGCATGCCCCCTCTGTATTTGTGGATGCAATCACATGTGTGACATCCGGTCTCCAAAATTTCGTCACTGGAACATCAATTTTGTTGCCAAACTCCACTAGCATACACTGCCATGACAACCAAAGTGTACTGTGTTGGCATCGCTTGGATATACGTTAACTCGACATAAAAACTAACAGCTTACAGATGTGTACTTTCGTGCAACTACATATAGCCAACTAAGACTACCTCTTCTGGAGACATAAGGTTCACTGAACATTCTGTTTATCACCAAGTTTCAAGTCAAACTCGCTATCATGGTACTCAAATGGTTAAATCAGAACTAAGACTTGAAAGACATTACAGAAGCACTCGCTTCTTGAAATTCTAACAGATTTAGGCTTCAGCACAGCAGTAGATGTATTATGGACTAGGCACTTAAGAAATCATCAGTTCAAACTAACCTTCTCTTCAGCAGAAAGAGCAGATCCACAGAAAAGCCAATTATTTGAACCTAGCCAAGGATTTAACTGCTCCGAGGCTCTGCATGCACAAAGTAAAAAACGTCTTCTTAGGAGCATAGTAGCTTCAGATTACGCACATCAATAAAGAATAGTCATTCATTTCAGCACATGCCATCCTGGCAAGTGGATTTTGAAATTACTAAAGATGAGAGAACATGCATATACGTTTTAGCCAACTCAGGATCATCGTTTGAATTCTGATCAACTTTCAACTTCTGTTTCACACGCTTGGACTTCTCGTCTGGAAATTTGTGAGAAGAATGGCCAGGACAAAATAGAAGGTAATTATCCTACAAACCAAGTCCAGAAGATATTAGTGCCAAATATCAACGCAGATACAAACTACTTGCTAAATAGTAAATATCTCTACAGCAGTTACACTATTATGGAGCCACACAGACTTACAAAATCCCATCTGCATCCAGAGATTTCCATTGCACAGGGAGCATGATAACTTTTCCTGCAAGATTCGACATAGCAACCTAGTGCTGCTCCCTTTTTCCCGCATTTACTGCACTTAAGTTTTGCACCCCGAGCCAACTCTTCCTTCAGGTTCTGAATAGTATCATCAACAAAGTATACCTTAGGTGCCCTGCAATACCAATCATACAGTTGAACAACCCGAACATCCAATTGTCACCATAAAATTACAAAGAACACAGATAGTAACAGCATACCAATCGATACAAATCTTGTGAACATGCAATGCAGTGGACAAGGTAGCTTCATGTCCTTCAATCTGATTCCCATTTAGGAAATGCAACAGTGGGCCAGTTTTCTAACATATAGAGAGATATAAAAAAAAAACAACGTGAGTTGAGAAAGCAGCAGAATAGATGTACGAAAATGCAAGAAGATCAAACTAGCCTAAAGTATTTAGTACGACGAAGAGATGGTGAATCACTACAAATGAAAATGACCCTTACCACTGAGACGTTAGAGGACTGACAAAACCTACAGACAGTTTTTGCTGCGGACAGCTGATTTGATGTTGCATGATTGCGAACATCAGAAGTTTCCAGCTTTTCAACTTGAGAACCTCTTGGCTCAGAAGGACCAGCCTTATGAAAGGTTGTATCTTCTAAACTGTAGTTCAACCTTTGTCTCTTAGAATTTCTCATAAGTTCCTCAGAAGAGCCAGAAGCAGAGCTGTCATGTCCCACCAGTCTTTGATTGTCAACAGAATTTTGCTTGGCCAATGCTATGGTATGATTTTGTGGAGTCTGAAAACGGCAGCACGGTTGTCAAATATCCTCAACAAAAAATTTGCATCACTCACCTTTAGGGAAAGGTAAAATACAAACAAAAGTTAAAGATAATTCTGAATCAAGCTAGTAAATACAAAGACAGCAACTCCCATCATCAAGTATAAGCATCAAAACCATTTCCATGAAATCTAGAAATAAAAATAAAAAAAGTAAGATCTCACGAGGAAACAAAGTGAATAGGACTAAGAATCTTACATCTTCACCACCTTGATCATTACTGTCATTCTCAGAATTCTTGACATCACCAAATGAAGGACTACAAAGTGACAACTGGTCTACATGAATTGCAGTTCCATTATCTTCCAACCATTGGGTTCTTGTCCGAGAATTTACAGGTGGAGACTGGGCATTTGGTTTAGCTTTGCGCCCACCATGTTCGACTGTGTTTTTATTGTTATTTTCTAAGCCCCGAGGCACACTACACTTATCTGACAAGCCATTCTCTCTACCCACACTTCCAACAGAAGTTGATGGAAGTGGATACAATTTCTTGCTCATTGGTGAAAATGAGCAACTTCTTGCATGAATGTTGTGGTTGAAGCTAGCTTTAAGAGACTCCTCTTTGCTGTCCAGAGTTTTGGAATCTTGATAAAGGAAAATAAAAGTTGCAGATGATATCAGCAACATGAAGAAAACCTGAGCAAAGTGAAGGCATTGGCAATTTCATAATAATCAATGGATTGGAGGACATACCATAACCAACGGACTGCATTGCAGTGACACGAAGAGCAGCATCCAATCCTTTGTAGATAGTAACAAGGTTCTCTATGAAAGGTAGATGCCTAGTATCTGCAAACAATTAAGGAGCTACATAAGGAGTTTTCTTACCCCGGCTGAAAGTTAAACTCATTCTCTAGAACAAAATTTACATATTATCAAAGCCCAATTCTTTCTCATTCAGGTTCTGGACCGAAGTCCAAAAGGAATAGACTTTAACAAGTCAAAATCCACCAAGTCAGCACGCTTTAAAGAATTAAAGCAATTAGAAACCGATATAGAAAGAAAATCGATGCATACCTTCATCAGCATAGGGAGCTTTACAGGAAGGGCATCCCACGGCTAACTGCTTGGACTCGAGGAGGCACGACCTGCAATGCAATTGATAGCCCCAAGTCAAGCAATTGTGTATGTCAACAGAAGAAAGCCATGAAAAGGCAACCGCCGCTGAAGGAGACAACAACAAGAAGCAGTAGCTAAGAAAAGATTACCCGCAGAAGATGTGATCGCAAGGCAGCAAATTGGGCTTCTTCAGAAAGTTTAAGCTGTCGAAAGAGTTAAATACGATCAGATTAGTCACGTTCACTGATTCATACCCTTAAACCCAACCAAAAGAACAAAAGAATCCCAGAGGAGTATGCAATCAGATTAGGGTTTCCGCAAAGAAACATCCAGCTCTGGCATACCACTCGCAATTCAATGTAGGGAACAACACTAACCCAATGAATTATACCGCTTACTTCTCTCCGAGAAAACAAAATTCAAGTTTTCGAAATGCGAAACAAACAAACAAAAAAACGTAAATCCACCGAAAGGAGCAAGCTTTAGAGGCGATAAAGAGAGGAATGAAGGGGGTAGAGGGGCTAACCAGAGAGGACATTTGAGCTCGAGGGCGAGCTTCTGAAGATGAAGGAACCCTGGATTCATTGACCTAACACTACCACTCTCAGCCGCCATTATTAACACTGCGAACGACTACTGTGGGGACCTGGAAAAACTGTTCGTTGTGTCACAAAAGCAACGGGAGCGAGATCACCTCACCGCTACAATATGGGGAGTCTTTTCAGGTGATTGATGCTAGCCCAGATGTGCTCACGTGGACGGCGGAGATCGACGAATTCGAAGCTGGGCGGGGCTTTTCCTAGATATTAATTATTCATGGGAGAGCGGAATAGACGGGCGGGAGGCGGGGAAGGTACTTTTGAACTCTGTATGTACTATGTAGTACTAGTAGTTCTTAGTGCGCGCCCTTTTACTGTAAGACGGGACCTTTATTTTTCGGATTCCTGAGTTTTTGTTTAGTTTGTACGAGTAAGGGATGCAAATGAACCATGCATGTTATCTGGGAGTGGTTTGGTGTTTGAATTAAGAAAATTTTGTTTAAAATTCTCGAGAGGGCCGAGCGAGCTTGAGTTAGGATTTGTTTAACTCACAATACTTGTTGGTAAATTTAATTTGGTGACTTGTTAAACTCAATTCGTGAGCTAGTATTTTAAGCATATGAAGTGGTTAACAGTATGACTAGCGAGTTCGTTGGAGTAGCGACTCTATGATTGAATCAATATTTAGTTTACAAATTGATAATTCATATGTTTGTTAAATTATACCACGTATGTTGTTCAATACTTTAAGTGCGTGAGTAAAAATGTGTCATTTATAATTTAAAAAAACAATTATGTAGCATAGATTACTTAGGTACTCATTGTTATTAAATAGCGTGATTTGAACAATTAAAAATTTTGGACAAAATAATATGATACCTTAGCTCGTGAGATGAACAGTCTATATGCATAAAACGTGTGTCATCAAATCTGCCCCATTCAGCACGCTCAACAGATGGGCAGTAGAGTAGTCCTGGCCTTTCCATTGTTCTCACCTCCACCTTGGGAAATGATGTGAACAATCCTCTAGAGGCCTTCTTAGTATGATGGGGCTGTCAAAAATGGCATAGGTGCTGGGATTGGAATTGTCGATTTTTCCCCTACAGGTATGGTTCACTTTGCTTTGGGCAAGTACTATGCTGGAATTCAGGATTCTTACATTGTAGAATTTTTGGCTATTCGTGACTCTATGAGCCGGTGCTTAACCCAAAATTTCCTTGTTGTCAAATTTTTTTGGGGATTCACAATTGGTGGTTCGGCGACTGCTGGAGGTGCAGGCAACTCATGCTCTAGGCGGGGCGATTCTTGAAGATGTTCGACGGCTAGCTTCAAACTGTGATTTTTGTTATGTTTCTTTTGCTCCACAGAGCTGTAATAAGGCCATCTGTCTTGTGGCAAAGCAAGCCCTGTCATCGGTAGTTCGATAATTGGTCGACTACCACACGTGGTTATTGAATGTTCTCTGACTCTTTGGTGGCGTTTTCTGACTCCTCCTGTCTATGTTAAATAAAATAAAACAATTTAGAATCCAAGTTTTACCAACAATATGGATGCTACCAATAACCACCGCAGATGACATAAAAATGTAGTATGTTTGTGACATTGGAGAATCCTTCTCAAATTTATAAGAACATTAGTCGCTCAGCTCCCCCCCCCCCCCCAATTATTCAAATAGAGAGACCAAGAAACACAGTACAAGAAGTCGAGCAAACTAGACCCTCATAGGAATTTAAAAAATAGAAAAAGAGCACTTATCACTCGATCAGTGGGGTCAGGACCATAGACAATGCAAAAGATGTGCATGTCGATATTTTCAACCCTACAATCTCTCTACCATAAAGTTAGCCACTAAACATTTTGCAGTTTGATTAGTCTCCATACATAAGTCACCATTAACTTGTCCCGAGGAATTTCAATTGGGTTTAGACGAGGTTGTGGTTGTGGACATAGGAAAGACATATATGGTGGTGATAAGATCAAAGTTCCTCAATGTATTAAGCCATACCGACACAAATCCACAACTACTTACTTTTTCTACTTTAGTAAAAATTGTCGCATGATGACAGAGAGAAAAACAATGAACACTACGGGGTCGTTTGGATTGAGTATTTGGGGGTGTTATTTGAGGTCAAATAACACAAAATCTGTTATTTAACCCCAAATAACATGTTTGGCTGACAAAAAGTGGGATGTGTTATTTGGATGTAGTGTTTTGCCAAATAACAGGTTTGAGACCAAATAACACAAAAAGTGTTGTTTGCCAAATACTTGGGAGGGGGCAGGTATTTCCCAAATAACAAGTTTGAGACCAAATATCACATACCAAATAACAAGTTTTATATTATGTGGTATTTGTGTGGTAATTGGCCCCAAACAACAAGTTTATCAAATACTCAATCCAAACGACCCATACGAGTAAACTTAGTCATTTATTTTTGAACAATGACTTCTTTTAGGTGCAAGAAAATGGTGGCTAGCTCTCTTTTTATTTGTTTCTTTATCTTTTTCTTTTGTTGTTTTCTTCTTTATACGAGACCAACAAAAGATTCACCTTTTTGGCTTTATGGGGTAATTCTGGTTCATGGAACTGGAAACGGATTCTGAAAACGAGGCAAAAGGTCTGTGCATTCTTCTATCAACAGGGGCAGGCTGTTTACTGGGATCAAGAAAGAATGGAGACTTTTTCAATTAGGAGAGTCTGGGAGACGTTAAGGCCAAAAAGGCAGCAAGTAGCTTGGTCTAATCTATTATGGAAGGGAAGCTCTATCCCTCGGAACATGTTCATTGCTTGGTTAATCTTGAATAGAGCGGTTACTACAAAAGAGAAGATGCTGAAATGGGGATTTGATGGTAGTCTGGGCTGTGTGTTTTGCAATTGCTCATTGGAAACTTCGGATCATTTGTTTGCATAATGTTGATGTACAGGAAAATTATTTGCAAGCTGTTTGGCATGGGATCAGGGGCGTTTACCTCTCTGGATAGCGAGCTGGCTTGGTTATAGCAGGTTTTTGGGTCTCAAACTGTAAAGTCCCAAGTGGGGCGAGCTATGTGGCAAAGCTTGGTGAGCGTGGTGTGGCAAGAAAGGTGCAGCAGAGTTCGTTTGGGGCAGTGTAGGGACTGTGATGTATTATGCAAGGTTGTAAGGGAGGAAGTTATAGGACTGTTTGGTCGAAATATATATGATTCCTTTTGTGTTTCGTAGTTTACAGGTGGAAGTTTGGTTTTTTGTTAATCCTTAACTAGCAAGGGTGTTGCTAGTACTACTTTTGATGAAATGAAAGTAATCCGATTCATAAAAAAAAATTCATCTTTTGATAATTGTGAAAAAAAGCACCTTATTTAAGAAAAAATTCCCTCCTTAACTCATATTTTGTTTTGCGAAGCAAAATACCATGAATGAAATCAACCATGTGGAACCTCAAAAAGGGTTCAAGAATTTTTGGCTTGAAAGAACAGGTTGATTTGAAACAGGTTGTAAGCAAATAGTAGGTTAGGCATGACGGGGTTTGACTAGTGGATAATATGATAAGAGTGGTCATTTACATCGTGGGCTATACTCATTGCCTACATCTTCCACACTAGTGGAGTGACGGTACGATCTCATGTAAAGGTTAAGCTAAGTCATTGTGCAACTAGGGGACTATCACACATGAAAGTAGGGGTGGGCATTCGGTCGGTTCGGTTCAAACCGAATCGAAAAGATGATTATAGGGTCCCCGAAATAGCTCATGGAGCAAACCGAATTTGGATCGAAATATATTTCGGTTCGGTTCATCCAAACCAAAATATATCCCGTTTTGGTTAGGTTTTGACGCCACATCCGAAGTTCCATACATTAAGTCTCTCCCCACTAAGTCTAACCCTATCTCCCCATTTACTATATGCGCATACCAAATTCTCTCTCTCTTAGTGATGGCAATTTGAACCCGCCCCACAGTTATTATGCAACCTGACCTGCGATGGGGCGGGTATTGCCCGACCCGCAGCAGCGTGGGGCGGGATATGGGTATCTACTTCCGACCCGTCCTACCTCGCCCCACCCCGTTATATACCCATTTTATCTCAATTTCTTACGATATCTATACATATTTCTCTTATTTAGACTTTTATTCAACTAGTTAGAGTTAATATTTCAACTTGCTAGACTCAAATACCCATTCTATTATCAATATTTTTCTTTCATAAAGTATTTTTTCCTTTGTTTTATCGTTAAAAGTAAAATTTGAGTGTATATTTTCCAAATAACATATAAGAGTGGGTCGACCCATCCCGCCCCGTACCCACACGGGTTTTACCCGCCCCGACCCGTAGTAGTGTGGGGCGGGGCATGGGAATTGAGGTACCCACCCTGCCCCGCCCCATTGCCAGCACTAATCTCTCTCTCTCTCTCTCTCTCTCTCTCTCTCTCTCTCTCTCCTTAAAGCCCAATGCAATCATGATTTCTCTTCCCATCTCTATACTCGGCGATTGCCCGAAAGAACTCAAGGGCACCCGCCGATGGGCCGATGGCGATTGACGGAGAGAACAACATGGCGGCTGGCAGTGACGGCGACAGGCGGCGACGGCAGCAAGTGACGGACGGCAGGCGACGATGGTGGCAAGCGGCATGCAGCGGCGACAACAATGATGGCCTCGAGCAGATCTTGATTTGGGGGGTAAACTGTCGAATCTGGCAGATCTTGAAAGAGCTCGAGGATTTGTACTTCTCCACCCATTTCGCCAAGTCTTCTCCTCCTTCGTCAGCTATTGTTGCAATCGTCGGTGGGGTCGCCGAGGGACCACCACCAAGCTTCACCCCTCCACTTTTGATTGTTGTGAGGTTTGGGTGGTAGGGTTTGACTAGAGAAATGGGTAAATAGATGTAACGGGCTTGGGTGGGCTTAGGGTTGTGGGCTTAGAGTTTGGGTAAGTTTGGCTGGTCGGTTCAAAATTCGAAATTCGAATTCGGTTTCGATTGGGTAGACCTTGGCTTCCGAAGTAATGGGGTTTTCCTTCCAAATTTCGAACCGAACAAGTATAGTTCGGTTTTGGTTCGGGTTTACCGAACCAGATGCCCACCCCTACATGAAAGGAATGAACAAGCACAAATCTCACATGACTACCCAGATGCTCGGTCTCTCATTCAAATTTCTCGATCGCTATGTCTAAATAATCGGGGGTGGTGATTGACCAAGACTAAGTCTCGTGCAATTTTTCCATCAAAGGAGAAGTGACACTAGAAACAAGCCTACTACGTTATGTATGATCATCATATGTTGTCATGCATCCAAATCATACTATTCATGCATCTGAGAAAAGGGGTTGCTTGGAGCCCTCAAGTTTGAAAAACTTTGAGCTAAATACATGGCTCCAAACAATCATAACCATGTCAAATCATCATCTCACAATCACCACAAAAAGAAAGCCATACATGCAATCCACTACACACCCTCATACTTAAAAATGCACATTGTCCCCAATACGTGCATAAGAGAAGGGGAATGTGCATAGATACAAGATTACCGCATTGATGAATTGATGGAGAAGGTGAAATAAGTGGAATGAATGTTAAATTAAGCTCACGATTTGGGGTTAAAGCACACAATAAGAAAGTAGGCACACATCCATGAGATAGGTATTCACTACTAACCTATAAAGCACAAAAGATATCAAACCCGGAGTTGGATTGTCGCTCCCTTCTTTATCTTCATAAGCTAGAAGATTGCTCCTATGTCTCGGTCCATCCCAAGACCTTTCTAAAGTTCAACTTCTTGATGGTGACTTGAAATATCAAGTCATATGCTCATTAGGTATGACATTATAAAGGCTCATGGACTTGATTGAGATTGAGGTTCCACCTTTAATACCTCTTCTTTCAATCTCCGTTCTACTCTTTGCCCCAAACCAAATAAGACATCATGGGTTGACCACAATTACATCCACCAAGAGGGACTGATGATTATGTGGACTTGGTTTGACAAAGAGACCTCACAAAATGATCCATCTTAAGAAGTCTCTCAAGACTAGGTGCAAATCTTTGAGTTGCTCTCTCCTATCATAATCACCAAGTTCCTCAACCTCCTCATTTGAATTATAATTGTTTCATCAACTTCCTCTATTGCCTCATGAAAAGCTTCTTTCCCTTGTTGAATTGCAATATCCTCCCCCTCTTTACTTTCTCATTGCTCCAAAACTTCTTAATTACTCATTCAGTCATCCTCTTCCTCTTGAAAGATAGTGAGTAGGTGAGATTGAGCTAAGTGAGCAGAAGTTTGATCAACACACCCCCTTGCTTCTACACCTCCTTTGTCTTGTGTAAAAAGCTCAAATCAAGAGGAGATATAGTATGAATGGCCAAATTGGAGAAAGAGCTCGCACCCTCGGTCGTGAATATCTCGATTGCTAACTCTATATTGGTTTTTGCCTACTATGGAGGCAAGCAATATACTTTCTCATTTTAAGTCACAAAGTCCTCCATTGCGAGCTCCAATTCACTTTTCAGTTCCGGGGGTGCAAGGTGGCCAACCCTCTCACTATTGTCTAAAAAATCTCTCCAATCAGAGCTCTAACACAATTTTTCACTTGGGGTTGCAAGGAAGAACCTTGTTGAAATGGGGTTTGTTTTGAAACTATAGGGAATTTTGTTGATGATAAATAAAAGAGATTTGTTCTTGGAACCCGAATTATAACCCCCCCCCCCCCCCCCCTTGAAGAAAAGGGTGTGACAATAATACTAAAGACAAACAACATTAAATAACAAACACACAATACACAAAAAGAAAAGAAAAAGTAACACAAAGAACTCAACAACAAAATTAAACATCACAAACACACAAAAGAAAAACTAAATGAGTAACTCTATACCTTTCATAAAAAAAAATTAATTTCAGGTCCTAACATGTTAAGTAAGGTGTGTACAACAACAAGTCTAAGAAACACTCCCTCTAGTGTTGAAAAACCCAAACATGTTTTCTTGTGTTGAGGTCGTGTCTTTGGCCTGGCAAAGACACCATATATGTTGGAAAACATGCCATCTGTAGCTAAAAAACACAAGCATATTTATGAATGCATGTTTTGTCCTCTACTAACGGATTTAAAATCTAAATCTCGAGATTTTTTAAAGAGATGACATAATTTTAGAGAGAACATCCACCAAAACAATGTGAAGACTAAGAGAGTGGTTTTGGATAGTTTGAATAAGGATAAAACTCTTAAGAACTTATCCAATGGAGCAAGGAGAAGATGGATCAAAACTTGATTTTATGTTCCTCCTCTTCTTTGCGTATAACTTTCTCCCTCCTTTTGACCTAAAGTTATGTTTGTTAGGGATTTGATAAACCCTAAGATCTTAGGTTAATTAGTTATTGGAATTGTGAATTCAATGTTTATGGTTCATGATTATGATATCTATTAATAGTTTAAATCTTTTAATTCTCAAGATAACTTTTGAGCATTGCTTGTTCTTGCCTTAACGAGAAAATATTCCAAGTTAAGATTAGAACTAACATTGATAGAGAAGTCAAATTGATTGCATGAGAGTGAATTATTTCTACTTTGTATTCTAGGATGACCTATAAGGAGGACTTAAAATAATTTATGCTTCAATTGAGTATTTAGGTGTGTGTTTAGGTGTGTGTGAGAGTGAATCCTCTTTTGGTTGATAGGGTCACAATTGCTTTAATGGAGAGTTGTTGCTAGTTAAAATAGTCTATGCACTTGCATAATGAAGACCATAAACTTCAATTATCACCCCAATTGCCCCTCAAATCTAATTTATAGGGGCGATTCTCTAGCAATATCTCTTCTATGCACTTGCATAATGAAGACCATAAACTTCAATTATCACCCCAATTGCCCCTCAAATCTAATTTATAGGGGCGATTCTCTAGCAATATCTCTTCTATTGTGTTTCTCCCCCAAGGAATTTTACTATGTTATATAGCATTGGTGCTATAGGTTTTTCCCTTTATGGTATAACTTGAAGTTATACCTTTAACGTTATGGTACAATTTTAGATTGTACCTATACTCTTTTGTACAAATTCTTTCATGGTACAACTTGAACTTGTTCATTTATGTGATGGTTCAACTTTAAGTTGTAAAGTTGTACCATAACATAAGGGTACAAATTCCATTATGGTACAACCTAAACTTATACATTTAACGTTATGGTACAAATTCAAGTTGTACATTAAAGCACCCATACTTTAGAGCATAGTAAAAGTGCTCTTCTCCCCCAGTTAGTTTTATTATGTCTTTAATTGTTTAGCTTAGTTTAGTTAGAATTCAAACAAAATAACTTGGATTCACTAGATAGTAGTTTGATTTTGAATAGTGGTAGACCTAAAGGCCCTAGTAGAATACGACTCGAGCAACTATACTACGAGCTTAGTTTGGGTCTGTTTGCGGATTTCCCTAGGTAAGTTAAAGAGTGTATGTGATTTGATATTTCACTTAAAAATCATCACGCGTTCTCATGTTCTTCAAGTAGCCTTATCTTGCTCATCGTGAACAACAAAATCAGTAGTTTCGGGTTAGATCTTGCAATTTTGAATTTGTTCTACATTCAAAATGATATTGAACGTTTACCGAGGTTCAACATTGGCTTCATCGCCAACATATGTGTTCAAATCCCACAAACGTCATCTGGCCCCATGAGAAAGTCAAAGACTCTGGAGCTCTCTTCTTTTAGCTAACACGTATGGAGACTCCACATGTGCACTGCCCACAAATGTAGCTAGGTGGCGGCCTGGCGGGAGATAGCTAAAGCTTCTTCCTAGAGAGACCTTAGGCGTCTATAAAAGGAGGACACCAAGCACTTTTCTTGCTTTAAAGCGAGATGAGACGATGCAACTCATGTGCACGAGAATAACTCACCTTCCCAAATCGATCAAGCAGATCAACCCAAATTTCTCGAGCATGCTTAACAAAACGAATGAAGCTCTAGATTTCTTTGTATATCGATGTATTGAGCCATTTATTGACCATGGCGCCGCATCCAATCCAAGCGCTTTGCTACTTTGGATTAGTTCGTTTTATGAGAGTGCCATCCACGAAACCATATTTATTTTTTGCAAGTAGAACATCTTTCACATCGAGAACCACTCATCAAAGTGGGAAGTTGTTAAAACCTCGTTGACTAGCATGTTACCAGGGGCATCCGAGTCGTGAAGCTGATAACCGTAAGGTAGGTAATCATCATTCTTGTCGGGGATTTGTCATTGTGGAGTCACGACGGAAGTATCATCATCGGAACTCATGATTGACGAGAGATTAACACTAGGAGCTAATGTTACATCAATTATGTTCACTATAGGTGAAGGAGAAAGAGATTCTTGTTTGGACATGGACAATGTGAGACTACATGAGCAGCATGAAGCACTGTGGGTTAGCTTGCGGACTCCTGGATGATGGGTCTGTGGGCTCTGCGTCAGTTGATCCTCTACCCAATACACATAAGCCTCACATCCCAAAATTTATATAATGTGGTTTGAATATGAGCTAGGATCAGGTGACTAAGTGAATCCCAGGCCTTCAACCTCATTAAAATCTAATGGTTCTAATTAATATGATTTAATGAATGACAATGTGTAATTGCATGGTTTTTTAATTTTCAATTAGTAAGTGGATTTTTTTTCCTCTGTCTCATTTCTTCCCTCCCCGTAGGCCAGAGAACTTTCTCGTCGCCAACCAGGTGCAATTTTGCCTTGTCTCTTCCCTTCTCGCACGGCCAGGGAACTTTCCCATTGCCGACTAGAGAACTTCTTTGCAATTCCCCACTTAGTTACCTGTCCCCAACTTTCAGTTACGCGAGAGAGATAGAGAAATAGAGAGAGAGAGTTTTTCCTACGACGACAGAGGATTTTCCACACCACAGTATCGGATTTATGATGTTTGTCGTTCTATTTTGTAATGTTCGTAAGTTTTGTTTTTAATGTTTATATAAATTTGGTTTATAATTCTAGTTTGTAATTTTTGTCTATTATGTTAGTAATGTTTGTTTGTCTAGTTTGTATACTTTATTTATGATTTGTATATCTTGTATTTATTGGTTTGTAATACAAGTTTACCAATTTTTATTGTAAATAGTGGTATTTTTGAACGATTAATATGCTTTATAATTTTCGTAGGTTTCTTTTGTACTGTTTGAAAGCATTGTCATTTTTGTCTACTATGTTTGTAATGTTTACATGACTAAAAAACAGTCTGGTCGACTTTGGTACGAAACTCCTCTATATGTATGTTTTGTATTGTTTGTAAATCCATTTGTATGTTTTGTAAATTTAGTTTGTATGGTTTGTATAGTTTGTCATATTTGTCCACCATGTTTGTAAGTCTAAAAAACAACCTAGTTGACTTTGGGACGAAACTCCTCTATATAGGGACAGAGCCTCCAAAGTCAACGTGGTTGTTTTTTCATTTTGTATTGTTTGTCGGTCTAGTTTGTCATTTTTGTCCGTATGTATGTATGTATGTATGTTTGTAGGTCTAAAAAACAACGTGGATGACTTTGGGACGAAACTCCTTTTTATAAAGACGGACGGAGCCTTCAAAGTCAACGTGTTTGTTTTTTTCCATTTT